AAATTGGTTGGAATTTTATGGAAGTGCATTGGAAATAATGATCTATTTGTGGAGAACAGTTGTCTGTGAGCATGCACTATCTTTTCATTTATTTCAAGTCTATTTGGATGTCAGTTAATAATGTTTTATAATTTCCTGATTAGGATCTCTCAGTAATTATACTCCTTTTTTTCCTTAACTTTATTGAAGAATAATTACGTAAAATAAAGTTCATACATTGAAAGTATGCAGACAGTTGTATATTCCTGTGAAACTACCACTGTAATCAAGACAGAAAATTCTCACCACACCCAAATGATTTTTTCCTGCCCTGTTATAGTCCACCCTCCCTCCACACTGACTCCAGGCAATCGCTGATCTGCCATTTGTCATCATGGATCAGCTTGGATTTACATAAATGGAATCATACAGTATGTAGTCTTTCGTCTTTGGCATCTTCCACTCAGCATAATGATTCGTATCCAAGTTGAGGCCTGTATGTGCAGTTCCTTCTTATTGCTGAGGGTATTCCATCTCATAGGCATCCCACGACTTGTTATCCATTCACCTGTCGATGGACTTTTGGGTTCCTTTCAGTTTGGTACTGTTGAATTACACTCCTTTTTGATAGTCACAGTGACCCTATACGGCAGCGTAGCACTGCCCTGTAGGGTTTCCAAGGAGTGCCTCGTGGATTGAACTACCGACGTTTTGGTTAGCAGCCATAGCTCTTAGCCACTGTGCCACCAGGGTTTCCTGATACCTTTTATCTTTACTAAAAATATGTTAATCTTTTTAGAATTAATTTCTCAACTGCTTGGTGTTAGTGTATACAAATGAAATGTTTAAAATAAACCTTACATTGATGTTTATTTTGTAATCTGAATACTCTCAGTCCTGTAATCATCTGTACTGTCTTTGGGAGTTCTGCATACTATATAATTATTTAACCTAAAAATATAGATTGAGGTTTTTTCCCCTTTTTTTTAATCTTTAACATCCTTATTTCTTTACCTTTTTTATTTTTTGGTATATATCAGCTGCAACCTCTAGGATAACATTAAATGAGAATGGAATAATGGGTATTCTTGTTTTTTACCTGCTTTTACTAGAAAAGTGTATGTATGTTCTTTGATGTGCAGTTTTTGCATATGCCCATTTTCATCATTTCTTATGTGGTTATGGCTGTAACCTTCTAACATACCTCCCAGCTTTTACATCTGCCCCCACACGGCTTCTTTAAATTCTTTAAGAGCTGTCATATCATTTTCCATCTCTGATCAAAGGCATAAAATTGCTCTGTGTTTCACTCAGATGAGAAGCCAGCACATTGCCTAGAACATGATGTATGTCCATCGGCTCCAGTCCCCTCTCCAAACTCCTCTGCTGTTGCTCTCCAGCATCTCACCCTGCTCGGGTCACGCTGGGGCCTGGGTCTCCTTAAAACAACCAGGCACACTCCCACCTGTTGGCCTGTGCTTTGGCGTTTCCTCCTCCTGGAACAGTCTCTTCTCAGCTCTTCCTTGGGTCATTCCTTTGTATCTTTCGTGTCTTAGTTTTGATTGTTGTTTTCAATTAATTAGGCTTTTGAGTCACAGGGCAAATGACTGCCCCCCAAACTGGGGGGACACGTAGGCTCTCTGCTCCTGGGCTTCTGCTCTGGAATGATTGCCCATGTGTCTCTCCTGGGCAGGCCCTCACCCGTGCTTCTCTGCTTCCCTTCCCCACTGTAGTGAGACAGGAAGCTGGATGGCGCTGAGGGTGGGTACTTCACTACCCCAGGTCTGTTGTTGTTAGGTGCCATTGAGTTGGTTCCGACTCACAGTGACCCTATAGTCTCGGGTAAAATAGTTTCCCTTGAGAGCAGGCCTTGTGAAGGACACAATGCTCTGGGCAGGTTTCCAGATGGCTGCTTTTCCTCCGGCCCCTACTGGCTGCACAAGGGAATTTTTCTCTGATCCTCACACCGAGGACCTGGCAGCGTTCACAGAAGTAAAACTCACAAATTTTGTGGGTCCCCCTAAGATAGCCCCTAGCATGTTTAACCCTGGAGCTTGTCCACACCAAGCCTGCAGCAATTCCTCAGTGACACTTTACGACTTCCTTCTATGGTCTTGATCCTGGTGGTGGGTTCTGCTCCTGGGCTCCTTCTCTGGAATGATTCTCTGGATCTGCCTGTGTGTCCGTCCACGTTTGGGGGCAGCCATTTGCCCTGTGACCTCAGTACTCTGAGTCTAGTACATTCAACTTTTTCTTGAGGATGGGAGTGATGACTTCTACGCTCTTTACATTTCCGGCCAACACGTGAAAGTCTTCGTTTGTGTTTTGTGTCATAACTATTGACTGTTTTCTTTTCCTTTCTTGATAGTATTTATCCATGCTGCTTTTATTTTTCCAGTGCCCCAGTTCACATGCTTACCGTTTGCTAATGACCTTTCCATTTTGAGAATAACCAGTGCATCTTCCCTGTCCCAGCCATGAAGGTCAGTGGCACTCTTTGACTCCTGTGCCTCTCCGCTGGGGGTTGTTGAAGTCCACGAGCATCTGAAATCTACATGAGTGTTTGCAAAATCATCACAGAGCGCTTCCAAGGTTTTAGAATTGAAAGTACGATTTTTTTCTTCTTACCAAGCCAGGTTTCAGTGGCTAGTGTTTCCTAAAACGATTATTTTGCTTTTCCCTGCGCTAACTCACTAAAGATAAATATGCCATGGTACCTCTTATCTCCTGACTATGCTGCCTTTTTCATACAGCTTAACACTGCGCGAGATCATGTTGTTGTTAGTTGCTGTGGAGTCAATTCCGACCCGTAGCGACCCCATATGTGCAGAGTAGAACTGCTCCATGGAGTTTTCAAGGCTGTGACTTCTTGGAGCAGATTGCCAGGACTGACTTCCAAGGAACCTCTGGGTGGCTTTGAACTGCCAGCCTTTTGGCTAGCGGTCAAACACTTAACTAGTTGTGGCACCCAGGAAACTTGGCATTCTATTTCATTTATTTACTGACCCCACCCAGAAAAGTTATGATCCAGGTGCATCTGGGTAGTTTGTTTCGCTCAGTGCTGTATCTCCTTTGCCCATGTGAAGTAGGCTCTGTGTCAGTATTACCTAAATCAGTTTTAATAAATGGAAGAGCCAGATGTAAGGGCCTGGAGGGAAGCAGTCTTGCCTGAGACACAGGGCTCTGCCAGGAGGAGCTCCAGGTTATCTGAACTGAATAGGGTGTTTGTCTCCTCTCGCTACTATCTAGCGGCTCTAGGTCATCCAGGTAACTGAGGATTAACAGCCAGAATAACAAGCACACTGCAGGCATATGAACAGAAGTGTAGTCGTCAGGAATTTAGTCTCTTAAGCACGTTGACCTGCATTCTGACCCTGGCTCAGCAGCATACCATTTGGGCAATGTGGAGCATGTGATTGATTGTAGCTTTCTCCAGCTATAACCTGTTGGAAGCAGTATCTGCTTAGGAGAAGCATAGGGAATAAATGAGCTGGTGTGCCAAAAGCTTTTCGCAAATCCCTTCAAATGCATAGTTGCTCAATAAAAGCAGCATTTTATCATGAATATATTGTAGAAATGGAAGTGAGGGTTTTCGATGACCTGAAATATGTAGCCTGGCCCACCACAGTGAGGAGGCTTTTGAATGTGGCCCTGGATCAAAATTTGCTGTGACACTGTCATACCAGAAGTGATTAGAGATGACCTTGAGAGGTCACTTCACCCTGTAGCCTGTCTATTCTACAGCTACTCGGCTCTTGAGTAAAATGTTAGCATTGGGAGTGCAGTGTGGCCATCTTTTGTGGCCTCACTACATGCCCAGAGGACACCGAGAGGATGTCAGTGGTCAGAATTTGGGTAGTCATGCTTGTGTGCCTTCAGGGCTGCAGATGTGAGAACATTTTGGAGTGGGGCATCTAGAGGGTTAGTGTGTAATTCTCTGTTTCCTAGGTGGCATGAGGAGTTAACAGCTAAATCCCCTGCACGTCAGTGAACTTACTAGAAAATATGAATCTTAACCTCTTGTTGATGGTCAGCAAACCCAAGGGCATGCTATTCTGGTTCTTCAGAGATCGGGCTCTTTGGCATCTTATAACATTAGCATGTGTTGTGTGGGTATCGGTGTCTTTGTTGAGGGGAACAGTCACTAATAATTGTTGTACGCTAAGTAGCTTTGGGTCTCAGGGTTTGAAAATAGTAATGGTACCTGGATTCTCTTGTTTCCTGTCTCTCACCTGAGCTCCATTTACCTTTTCAATACCCTTGCCTCTCTCCATGAAGGGACAGAGTGCGTGACAGTGCAACCGTAGCGTTATTGAAAAGTCAGTGACAGACATATTAAAATTCGTAATTCCCCAAAATAACATTTTCTTTTTAGCAGGTCAGCAGGTGGTCCTGTCAGCTGTGGATCACCTGGAGTTCTTTAAGAAAATATAAGGAACTCAGGGCCTTGGGTTGCCATTTTGTTCGTGCAGGCCCCTGGGCCTCCCATGGCTGATGAGGGGCCAAAGGAAGAACAGCCAGTCCTACAGTGTTGCCAGTTGTTAACATCTCATCCTGGTTTCACCCTATGCTTCATGTTTTGTTAAGTATTCTGGTGGGTCCTGTGTGTAAAGAGGTGAAATTTTTTAACCCCCACGGGGTTGAGATGATCTGAATGTGGAAACAAGTCTTCACTGTAGAGCATTTCTCTAATTTATGCTGTGTGTTTTGACTGTTCTAGACCATAAAGATAGAGAGGAATGAGACTGGAATTGATCACAGTCAAACTGTGGAGAGAGAAATTCATTGTGGTGGAAGTACTGTTAAGTCTGTGAGACAGGATGCAATGCGTGATGAAGTGAATGTAGACGGTGAAGGGATGAGGCTGATGCTAAACCCTAGAGTAGACCTTAGTAGAACACAGAGCCCCGTGTCACACCCCCATGAAATCTCAGTTCCCAGGACTGTCAGCCTCACCCTTCCTTTCACACACATTGGAGTATGTGGTACCTTGCTGAACCAGAATATGTGGAATGTTTTAGGACTCAGTGGCTGTTGAGGATGTGGCTGTGGACTTTACCCAGGAAGAGTGGGCATTGCTGGATCTTTCTCAGAGGCAACTCTACAGAGATGTGATGATGGAAACCTTCAGAAACCTGGCCTCAGTAGGTATGGATGGCTTCCTTTTCCTTTAAGTTTATTCTTTAGTGACCAAATGTGTCATACTTATTGACGTTACTCCAGTATGTGGGTTGAAGAGCAGGAATACATCGTTAAATAAGACAAGAATGATCATTTGCTCTCTGGAGCACAAATATCCTGGCTTCCCCATGAATACAAAGCTCTGTGTATTAAACTGACTTCTCATTTCAATTATGGTTAAAAGCCTTAAGGCTCTTGGAATGTCGAAAGTTGGAGCATTGATTTCAGGGGTTTCTTTGATGCACAGAGAGAATCTTTGTGGTCTGGGACCTTGTAAACAGTCTTACTGTGTTTATTACAAGTTTGCCATGATTATTTTGCTGCAAATAAATTCATACCTGCCCATCACCAGAGACCCCGAGGGCCAAAGTATTGGCTCAGTGTCAGGGAAGTGTTCATTGCTCTTCCCTGTCTTCTCACGTGGTATGCCTTTCTCCATGAGCACCATGTCAGCTGCACGCATGTGTTCTCCCAGAGTAGCAAGGAAAGTGCAGATAGCACTCATCCAGGACCACTGTGTCGGGGGTACCAGGAGGCAAGAATCCTTTGATGGACCAGTTCTGGATGGAGGGAATGAGATTTGAATAAATTAGTTAGAAAAAGTCTCTTTTGGGTTGAGGAGCGTGTACTTCACAGATACCTGAGCTTGATTTTCTGACTTCGTCAATCCTAACACACCTGTGTTCATGGAGAAAGACCGTCCCTTTTTCCTCTTTTAATGTTCTACGTGCAGTGTGTCCAATACCTTTCTACTTTGCTTTTCTAATTATACCCTACCAATGTCACTGTCACTCCCAATCTTCATGGAAGTATTGCCTAGTAACTTGCTTTCTGACCATTGCCCAAGTACTGAAACAGCAAAATGTGTCAAAGTCTGCTTCCTCACAGCTACCTTTTTCCTCTGAGTAATTCCTTTCCTTTTTGTTTCATATTGTGAACCTCACCTTAAATCATTGGGTCAGTTTCTCGAAACCTTAGTGATGGAGGAAAGCTATCCAGTGAAAATATAATAGTACGATTCACGAAAAATGACACGTGGTTCTCCATGGTAGGAGAAATCTGCGAATTGCATGGCAGTGAAGATCAGGATACCAACCGGAACACACATGTGAGGTGAGTGTCATTCACTCGAGAAGCAGCAGTGATGCTTCAGAAGAGAATATTAAGAAGGTATCATGGTGTTAAAATATTTATGTATATATAAGGAGTCCAGGTGGGCACAAATGGTTAAGCACTCTACAGCTAATGAAAAGATTGGCAGTTCAAACCTACCCAGTGGTTCTGTGGGAGAAATACCTGGCAGTCTGCTTCCCTAATAATTACAGCCAAGAAAACCTTATGGGGCAGTTCTACTCTCTCACATGGGATTACTTGGAGCTGGAATCTACTCGACAGCATCTAACAACTATATACATCTATATGTATGCATGCATGTGTGTGTAAACACACACACACACACACACACACACACACACACACACATGCGTATATGTATTCTTGTTTTTTGTTGTTAGGTGCCACTGAGTAGGTTCAGACTCATAGTGACCGTACGTGCAACAGAACGAAACACTGCCCAGTCCTGCAGCATCTTCACAGTCATTGCTGTGTTGTTGCAGCCACTGTGTCAAGCCATCTCATTGAGGGTCTTCCTCGTTTTTGCTGACCCTCTGCTTTACCAAGCATGATGTCCTTCTCTAGGGACTGGTCTCCTGATAACATGTCCAAAGTACCTGAGACGAAGTCTTGCCATCCTTGTTTCTAAGGAACATTCTGGCTGTAGTTCTTCCAAGACAGATTTGTTTGTTCTTCTGGCAGTCAATGGTATATTCAATATTCTTTACCAACACCATAATTCAAAGACATCAATTCTTTTGTCTTCTTTATTCATTGTCCAGCTTTTGCATGCATATGAGATGATTGAAAATACCATGACTTGGGTCAGGTACACCTTAGTCCTCAAAGTGACATCTTTGCTTTTTAACACGTCAGAGAGGTCTTTTGCAGCAGATTTGCCCAGTTCAGTACATCATTTGATTTTTTGACTGCTGGTTCCATGGGCATTGATTGTGGATCCAAGTAAAATGAAATCCTTGACAACTTCAGTATTTTCTCAGTTTATCATGATATTGCTTATTGATCCAGTTGCGAGGATTTTTGTTTTCTTTATGTTGAGGTGTAATCCATACTGAAGGCTGTAGTGTTTGAGCCTCATCAGTAAGTGCTTCAAGTCCTCTTCCCCTTCAGCAAGTAAGGTTGTGTCATCTATGTATTGCAGGTTGTTATTGAGTCTTCCTCCAGTCCTGAGCCATGTTCTTCTTTGTATAGTCCAGCTTCTCCGATTACTTGTTCAGCATACAGATTGAATAAGTATGGTGAAAGGATACAACCTTGACACACACCTTTCCTGATTTTCAGCCACGCAGTGTCCCCTTGTTCTGTTTGAATGACTGCCTCTTGGTCTATGTACAGGTGTCTCATGAGCACAATTAAGTGTTCTGGAATTCTCATTCTTTGCAGTGTTATCCACAATTTGTTATGATTCACACGGTAGTTATCTTTGTATAGTCAGCAAAACACAGGTAAACACCTTTCTGGTATTGTCTGCTTTTAGCCAAGATCCATCTGACATCAGCAGTGATCCCCCTGGTTCCACCTCCTCTTCTGAATCTGGCTTGAACTTCTGCTGGTTCCCTGTTTATATATTGCTGTAACCATTTTTTAATTATCTTCAGCAGAATTTTACGTGTGATATTAATGATATTGTTCAATAATGTCCACATTTGGAAATCACCTTTATCTTTGGAATGGGCACAGATATGGATCTCTTCCAGTTGGTTGGTCAGGTAGCTGTCTTCCAAATTTCTTGGCATAGGTGAGTGAGCACTTCCAGCGCTGCATCAGTTTGCTGAAACATCTCAATTGGTATTCCCTCAATTCCTGGAGCCTTGTTTTTCAGCAGTGCCTTCAGGGCGACTTGGACTTCTTCCTTCAGTACCATCAGTTCTTGATCGTATACTACGTCCTGAAATGGTTGAATGTCTACCAATTCTTTTTGGTAGAGTGACTCTGTGTATTCCTTTCATCTTCTTTTGATGCTTCGTATGTTGTTCGATATTTTCCCCATGGAATCCTTCAGTACTGCAACTTGAAGCTTGAATTTTTTCTTCAGTTCTTTCAGCCTGAGAAATGCCAAGCCTGTCCTTCTCTTTTGGTTTTCTGTCTCCACATCTTTGCACATTATAATGCTTCATTTTGTTATCTCAAGCAGCCCCCCCCGCCCCGAAATCTTCTGTTCAGCTCTTTTACTTCATCATTTATTCCATTTGCTTTAGCTATTCTACATTTGAGAGCAAGTGTCAGAGTCTCTTCTGACATTCATTTTTGTCTTTTCTATCTTTTTAATGACCTTGTGCCTTCGTCATATATGATGTCCTTGATGTCATTCCACAACTTGTCTGGTCTTTGGTCACTGTATCAAGTCTGTTTTTTGAGATGGTCTCTAAATTCTGGTGAGATATACTTACGGTTGTATTTTGGCTCTTGTGGACTTGTTCTAATTTTCTTCAGCTTCAACTTTAACTTGCATATGAGTAATTGATTGTCTGTTCCACACTTGGCCTCTGGCCTTTTTCTGTTCGATGATATTCAGCTTCTCCATCGTCTCTTTCCACAGATGTAGTCGATTTAATTCCTATGTATTCCCTCTGGCAAGGTCCACGTGTATAGTTACCGTTTATGTTGTTGAAAAAAGATATTTGCAATGAAGAAGTAATTGGTCCTGCAGAATTCTATTATGTGATCTCCGGCCTAGTTTCTATCACCAAGGCTGTATTTTCCAACTGCCAATCCTTTTTCTTTGTTCCCAATCGCTGGTAATTAGCAATGCATCTTCACTGCATATTTGATCAATTTCAAACTGTGCAATTATGTAAAAATTTTCAATTTCTTCATATTTGGCATCAATGGTATGTTAATTTGAATACTAATTGTATCAACGGGTTTTTCTTATATGCATATGGGTATTATCACTGACAGCATAGTGCTGCAGGGTAGATCTTGAAATGTTCTTTTTGATGAATGCAATGCCATTCTTCAATTTGTCATTCCTGATGTAGTATGCCATATGATTGTCCGATTCAGAATGACCAATGCCAGTTCATTTCAGGTCACTAATGCCTAGGATATCAATCTTTATGTGTACCATTTCATTATTGACAACTTCAGTTTTCTTAGAGTCATACCTCATATATTCTACATTCTGATTATTAATGTTTGCAGCTGTTTCTTCTCATTTTGAGTTTTGCCACATTAGCAAATGAAGGTCCTGAAAGCTTGACTCTATCCATGTCATTAAGGTCAGCTCTACTTTGAGGATGCAGCTCTTCCCTAGTCATCTTTTGAGTGCCTTTCAACCTGAGGGTCTCATCTTCTGGCACTATATCAGTGTTCCGCTGCTATTCATAAGGTTTTTACTGGCTAATTCTTTTCAGAAGTAGGCTTCCAGGTCCATCTTCCTTGTCTGTCTTAGTCTGGAAGTGCAACTGAAACCTGTCCGCCATGGGTGACCCTGCTGGTATTAGAAATACTGGTGGCATAGCTTCCAGCATCACAGCAACATGCAAGCCACCACAGTCTGACAAACTGACAGATGAGGCATGAGATGTCTGTGTGTGTATATAAAAAAATGCATATATATATGTGTCTTTGAATATATATATGTTTTGTAAACCTGTTGTCGATAATTCAATTCCGACTCATAGCAACTCTGTAGGACAGAGTAGAACTGCCCCATAGTGTTTCCCAAGCTGTAATCTTTATGGATTCAGACTGCCACGTCTTTCTTCCTTGGAGCCCCTGGTGGTTTGAATCACTGACATTTCATTTAGCAGCCGACCACTTAACCACTGCACCACCAGGTTCCTATTTATGTGTGTTTATCTCAAAGCCATTGCCATTGAGCCTGTTCTGACTCACGGCAGTGCTGCTAGGTGGGTTTGAACCCACCAACCTTTAGGGTCTAGTAGAGCACAAACCTTTTGTGCCATTTAGGTATCTTACGTATGTATATAAAACCAGCTCTAAATGTTGTGTTCACAGAACTTTCACAGTACAATATTTTCATAAATGTAAGTCAGATCGAATATTTGAAATGTGTTTCACTTACATACAATTACCAGCAGGACCCATATTTTAGAAACACAATCAAAATAATGGTAGCATCTCTTCCAGATTATTTAATCTATGACACATGAGACACTTTAAGGCAAAAAACATGTTTACTGTGCATGGTAGTGGTGAAATGGTAACAAATTTATATCCAACAGCATGCTGCCTATTTTTAACAGAAGGTATATGGTAGAGAACCTCTGTGTAAGTAATGAAGACCATCAGTGTGGAGAGACCTTCAGCCGGATTCCAAATGTTTCTGTGCTGAAAAGAACTTCTATGGATGGATATCCTACTGAATGCCTTGAGTGTGGAAAATCCTGGATGGATCATTCATCACTTAAGCATCATATCAGATCTCACTCTGGATGCAATGCTTATCAGTGTAAGGAATGTGGAGGAGCCTGCAGTTGTTCTTCTTACCTCAACACTCCTGTGAGAACTCTTACAGGAGAGAAACCCTATGAATGTAAGGAATGTGGGAAAGCCTTTAGTTGGCCATCACACCTCACTTCACATGTAAGAACTCACAGTGGAGAGAGGCCTTATATATGTAAGGAATGTGGCAAAGCCTTTCGTCATTCTTCAAGCCTCACTAAGCATCTAAGAACTCACAGTGGAGAGAGGCCTTGTGAATGTAAGGAATGTGGCAAAGCTTTTAATCGGTCATCCTACCTCACTACACATATACGAACTCACAGTGGAGAGAGGCCTTATGAATGTAAGGAATGTGGCAAAGCCTTTCGTCATTCTTCAAGCCTCACTAAACATATAAGAACTCACAGTGGAGAGAAGCCTTATGAATGTGAGGAGTGTGGCAAAACTTTCAATCTGTCATCACACCTCACTTCACATGTAAGAACTCACAGTGGAGAGAGGCCTTATATATGTAAGGAATGTGGCAAAGCTTTTCGTCATTCTTCAAGCCTTACTAGACACATAAGAACTCACAGTGGATTGAGGCCTTATGAATGTAAGGAGTGTGGAAAAGCCTTTAGTCAATCCTCACACCTCACTATACATACAAGAACTCACAGTGGAGAGAGGCCTTATATATGTGAGGAATGTGGGAAAGCCTTTCGTCATTCTTTAAGCCTCACTATTCATATAAGAACTCACAGTGGAGAGAGGCCTTATGAATGTAAGGAGTGTGGGAAAGCCTTTCATCAGTCCTCAAACCTCATTGAACATGTAAGAACTCACAGTGGAGAGAGGCCTTATGAATGTAAGGAATGTGGGAAAGCCTTTAGTCATGCCACATCCCTCACTGAACATGTAAGAACTCACAGTGGAGAGAGGCCTTATGAATGTAAGGAGTGTGGGAAAGTCTTTAGTCAGGCCTCACACCTTACTATACATGTAAGAACTCACAGTGGAGAGAGGCCTTATATATGTAAGGAATGTGGCAAAGCCTTTCATCATTCTTCAAGCCTCACTAGACATATAAGAACTCACAGTGGAGAGAAGCCTTATGAAGGTAAGGAACGTGATAAAGCCTTTAGTTGTTCCTCAGACTTCACTGCACATATAAGAACTCATGGTGGAGAGAGGCCTTAAGTAAGGAATGTGGGAAAGTCTTCAGTCATTCCCCAGTAGTTACTGAACATAAATAACCTCACAGTGGGAGAGACTTTATGAATGTAAGGAATGTGGGAAAGCCATTAGTTATTCCTGATCCTGCACTGAATACATAAATCATTCTGGAGAGAAACATTTTGAATATATGTGTTGTGGATTGAATTGTGTTCCTTCCTGAATACGTGTGGTAAATCTTAACCTTTATGCCTGTGGTTATAATCCTATTTAGGAATGAGTTTTCTGTTAAGTTAATGAGGCAGGATTAGTATAGGGTATGTCTTGAGTTAATCTCTTAGAAGAGACAAAAAAGAGCAGATTCGGCAAGCAGAGATGGGGAAAGACGCATGCCAAGCCACATGAAGATCATCAAGGAACCAAGAAATAAGGGCCTTCCCCCAGAGCTGACAGAAAGCCTCCCCCTAGAGCCGGCATCCTGAATTCAGACTTCTAGCCTCCTAAACTGAGAAAATAAATTTCTATTTGTGAAAGCCGCCCACTTGTGGTATTTCTGTTATAGCAGCACTTGATAACTAAGTTAGTACAGAATGTGGGAAATTATTTTGTGAATCCTCAGACCTCATTAATTATATAAAAATTCACAGTGGAGAGAGACTTTATACATATAAGGAATGTGGGAAAGTCTTCAGATGTCCCTTATTCTTTGAAACACAGCTGAGAAGGATACTGGAGAGAAACAATTTACGTTTAAGTAAGGTTGGATAGTTTTAATCTCTTATTTTTTGTCTACCTGAAAGACGATACATGGTAGAGAAACCATGTAAGTGTAAGGAATGTAGGAAAGTTTTTGTTTTCCTCTCCGTATTTTCAAAGACATTCTAATTTACACATATGGGAAAGCCTTCCCTACACATACGAAATTTGAGTAGTGGCATTGGAGAGACATTATGTAAATGTAAGGTTCCTGGGAGCCTCTACAGGTCTTTTTCAATTCTTAGACAATGTGTCAGATATTGCACTGTGGGTAGATCCTATGAATGTAAAAGATGATGGAACCCTTCAGTGTCCGTCTTCCCTCAGGATGCCAATGAGGTCTCACACCCTCCTGTGACTATAAGTGTTGTGCAAAGCTTTCATTCACATCATTTCCACTTTTGTGCGCAAGGAAATTCATAACGGGAGAAATCTTATTAAAATTAGAAATAGGGAATTTTCCACTGTCTTATTCCTATGTGCATTACTTCTCAATTATAATTTTCTGATGTAACATTAAGGTAAAAAATATCAGTCTAAGTCTGCCTTTCATCCTAGGACATGAATTTTGATAAGTAGTGTTTGCATTTTTGTTCATTTATATAAAACTTCTCTTCGTTAGAAGGTCTCATTAACTTGTGTTTTGAGGCATGTTTTGTTTTTATCAACTGTTAAATTTTAATATCTTTTTCAGAGTATAAAGCAGTATGTTCTCATTGTAGAAAATTTGACTTTAACTAGAAAGTGTATGGAAAAAGCAAAAATCACTTAAAATCTTACTGCTTCTGGTGTGGTGAAATGAGTTCTTTTATGTGGTCTTTTGACTTGGTTATTTGGAAAAACAGCTTGACAGATTTTTTTTCTCTAAGCCCTGAGGAGTTACCTTTGCACTAGTTTTCCACCCCAGAGAGTTTGTTCCTTTTTGTCCAGGTTGATTGACATTTTATGGGTAAGCGGTAAACAACTTGATGGTTTGTTATTTTTTGTCTAGCTCTGGGCTACAGTCTGTCCTGTAATTGGTCTGTTTTACACACTCTGCAGGGATTTTTTGGTTTACTATGCAAATTGAGTAATTTTTTGGTCCATTGAAGGCATCAGTGACATTGTGGCCCTGTTGGGAGGGCCATGCCTTGAGATTGACAAGGAGTTTGTTTATATATATAAGCAGCCAACCCACAGGGGTTTTTAGTGAGGGAAGAAGAGAGAAGCAGAGAGAGAGGAGGCAAGGAGCCTCCTGAAAGAGCTGTAACACAGGTCAAGGGCTGTAACACTGAAGCCAGCAACAAGCCCTGAAGGGGACCTCTGGCAGCGTCAGCGGTGACAGGCCTGGAAGGGACCCTGCAGCAGAGTTGGCAGCAACTGAAGAAAGTTGCTTCTAGGAAAGCAGCTAAGAGAGCTGAGCAAGCTGCTACACTGGCTATGAGCTGGGCCAGTTAGTGGAGAGGCTGACAAAGGTAGGGAGGCCTGCATGGCCTACAGGGGGCATGCAAGGCAGAGAGGGCGTGCATGGCCAGTAGGGGGCCTGCATGACCGAGAGGAGGCGTGAACTGCCAATAGGAGGCCTTTCCTGAGGGGTGGAGAGTGAGGGATACACGCACGGCCAAGAAAAGGGCCTCCCTGGTTGCACAGCCAAGAGGAGCTGAGAGCCTGCACTGAAAGAGGGAGGGATGTGCTTGCCACTTTGGGGAATCCTTCCAGACCTTGTATGTGTGCTTCCTGATCCTGATCCCCAGGTGTTCCTGTTACTTCCAAGTTGATCCTGATCCCAAGTTGTAGTTTCTAACTTCCCTAATAAACCACATAACTGTGAGTATAGTCTATGAGTTCTGTGTGGCCATTGCAACAAATTATCGAATCCAGCAGAGAAGTATAGAGTGCCATGGGGGAGGACGGCTAGCGTCAGGAAAGGTGAAGAAGTTGGAGGGTGTAGGTTTGTCTGACCTCCACTTCATAGGAACCAACCTTGTGCTAATCCTCATTTTTATTGTCTCAGGAATTTAGACAATTCCTTGTGCTAGAACACACTTGGTATTTTCTTTCTTTCTCATTTATTTTTTAGCTTTTTCTTAATGCAAATAAAGGTTTTTAATACAATCAAGATTGTACTGTGTGTTTACTATAGTGTGGATATTTTTGCATTGCATATTCTCCGAGTGGTATGGTGATCCCTGGTTTAATGGTGAAGAAACTGCACAGGAAATTTTAATCCAGAATCATACCACAGATGATTTTGTGACAAGCAGGGTTTGCATGGAAGGATGGCTCCTGGGAGCCCATGGTGATGCTGGGCCCACACAGAGCCCCAGCCTGACCTAGCTGCAGTGGTGCTTCTGTCCTGCAGTGTCACAGAGCCTGTGCTCAGTGACACAGTCTTTGTTTTGGTAATTCTGGCAGTACAAGGGTGTGCACTGGGCAAGGAATTGGTGTTGTAATTGCTAGGCTTGGCTGGAATTCTGGCTGCTGCCCCACCTGCAGGGCCTGGAGAATATGGGAACCCAGCTAGGGTTCCTGGATTAGTGGGGACAGACAAGGGGCTGTTGGGCCTGGAGGTTTATCCAGTGCAATTCTTCCCCACACTTGGCTGGGAGCTGTCTCACTGACTCCTCAAGGGGCCTTGGAAATGGTGGCCACAGGTGGCAGAAGCCTTCGTATTAGATGTTCCCTTGACTCACCAGTTCTCCTTTTAGAACTCTTGCATGGAGATCTCTAAGCACCATGGTTCCTGTTGATTGTAGTGACAGATAGTAGAAACCACAAAATCAGTGTCCACCAAGAAAAGAGTTGTTAAATAAATGCCCGTCCGCACATTAGAAGCAAGAATGGCGAGACTACATCTCACATACTTTGGACGTTATCTGGAGGAATCAGTCCTGGAGAAGGACATCATGCTTGGTAAAGTGGAGGGTTAGAGAAAAAGAGGAAGAGCCTCAACAAGATGGATTGACACAGTGGCTGCAACAATGGGATCAAGCGTAACGACGATCGTGAGGATGGTGCAGGACTGGGCAGTGTTTCATTCTGTTGTCCATAGGGTCACTATGAGTTGTAACCAACTTCAGAGTGCCTAACAACAAAAATACCACACATCAGAATGTTGAAATGTCACCAATGGAGTTTTTTGCCCCCCCTTAAAATTTCAAGACAGCAATTCACTTTTGGGATGTGGTTGACAAATGCATGATGTCTTATAATCAGTAGCACATTGATAGTACAGAATAGTACCTCTCTTCCCTCCGAAAACCTCTCTTGGGCTGTCCCTTTTAAGTCAAACCTTTCCCTGTGAATTCCTGGCAGCAGTTCCTGTTCATACTGTGCAGTATGTCACTTTTGTATTCTGGCTGCTTGCACTTAGCATCATGCATTTGAGAGTCATCCAAGTTGATGAATGGATGAATAGTTTCTTTTTCTATTGTGCAGTATCCCATTGTATGGACATACCACCATTAGGGGGACGTTTAGATTTCTAGTTATGAATAAAGCTGGTGTAACATTCCTGCATGGGTTTTATGTGAAGATAAAATTTTCATTTTTCTTGCCCATATCCCTAGGAGGGAGATTGCTGTCATGTTGCAGGCCTATGTTTAACTTTGTAGGAAACTGCCAACCTATCTTTTAAGGGGGCTGTGCCATTTTGCATTCTCACCAGCAACGTATCATTGCAGTTGCTGCTGGGATCTGCAGAAGCTGCTTTCTGGAGGAAGCCAGCACACTTCTGTTTGGCAGTGGAGTTGAGGGAGGGCATATGGGGGGCGGGTGGCTCATCAAACAGGCAGCCTCACATTGACTGAGGAGAGCGGGTGCCTGGAGCAATCTTGATTAGCCCACAGGCCTACGTGTATGAGATCTTAGGCTATGCCAACACTGCCACTACCAGCCTGGTCTGAACCCAGGGCCCATCTCTGTCTTTTTTGGAAGGAAGATAGTGCTTCCTCTCAGGCCCCAACTGCAGGAAGTGGCCACTGCTCCTCGTCACCGTTACTGTGTTCCTGGTGGAAACCAGACATGGACGTGCATGTCAGAGCTAGTGGGTCAGCTGGTGGGTGGCCATCTTACTGTTCCCTCCCGCACTCCCACATCTGAAGTGAGTTTTCTCCTCTTGGCAGCAGGCCAAGTCCAGATGTGGCCCTGTGGGAATGTGAGGGCCCAAAAGTGGTGATGTGGAGTCAAAGGTTGCTGGTCCTGCAGGGGACGCTCAGGAGCCGTTACCCCTCTCCCAAGAGCCCAGCTCTTTTTGCCCTCACTCATCTAGGTCTCAGCTCATCCCAAACTGCTGGTTTGGGGGTGTGAGTCCCTGAGGTGGGCCAGGAAATGTGAGGAGTGCCTTTTCATCTGCTGGGCTGTATGCTTTCAACACCTTCGGAGCAACTTTTGTGTCCTTTCTCCAGCAGAAAAAAGCATCTCTGCCTTTCTTGTTGTAAAAATGGCATGGAGACAGCATCTGACCTCCTCTAACTTCACAAGGTGGGAGGAGAATCAAGATTAACAGCCCAAGGCTGATTCCCATGAGGCAGGTCAGACATGCCTCCTCCCTGTGCCATCTTTACCAATTCTGACAACACTGTCAGAGCATGGAGAGAAAACCACACAAAAGCAATCTATCGCACCATACCT